AGGAATTTCAATTTATCAGTTGCATGTACAAAATTAAAATAGTTTGAAGAAATATAGGAAAAACAAACACAAGTTACTTGAGAAGAAAAAAAAAGTGGACTGGTTTAAAGCCACTGAAGTTATCTTTTCTTATTTTCTATTCAGAATGGATGTTCTAGAAAAACAGTTTCTAGATATCCAACTAACCCACCAAATATTTCTCACTAGTGGCAATAATACTTCCACTCCATCTCTTCTACTATGACTATGAATTCATACACAATACAGACTACAGACTATACTTACAAAGTGTGTTTTGTATTTTAAGATATACAGATTAGTCCAGAGGAACAACCATTACTACAGTACATAAAGAGAATTAGAGTGTAATTCATGAGAGCCCTTTAATAAGAAGAGAACTAAAGCAAAAAGCCTTTTAACTTACATGTGATTAAGCCCAGCCATTCAGGTTGTTCATGATTTTTAATTAAGAACAATGAGTTCAAACCCCTAGGTATCTTCTGATTAGAACTGTCTGTGATTGAACAAATACTCACCATGATGGCATAGCCATGTTCATGTTCAAAGAAACTGGCATAACAGGCCTAGAAATGAGAATGAACAGAAATGACGTAAGAAATATACTGCAATTTAATAATGCAGATGAAGTTGTCATGAAATTACATATCCCCAATTCTGTCTTTCTTTTAAACCATAATAAACATTAGCTAGTTTGTAGTGTCCCTTCAAGAAATCTCTCTTGAAATCTGCCAGCCCAAACACATTTAACATTCAGGGCTGAATTAGCCACTCTCTATGGAGAGCAAGCTAAGCATTCGTGGGCTGCTTTATATGTATGTGGGGGTGTGTGACTGCATATATATCATATACATATTTTATATATACCATTCAGTTATTTCTAAATAACAGTTATTTATCACAGTTCTACACAAATGTTCAGTGGATGAAGGCACCTTGCACAGCAGCATCAGCCAACCTAAGGAAGAAGCTAAATGTAGTACAGGGGTGGATACAAGTCTGGCCATACATGCTTATCTCAACAGCTGAATCTGCTTAAGCAGTGCCTGCCTTCACTGCAGGACTCATTCCCACCCTTACGCTGCTTCACGACATCTTTTCAGACGCACCACAACCACTCCAACAGACCATGCTACAGATCAAATCTGGCTATAATCTATGGAATCTGAGGAACATGATATTAGGAAGAAATTTTTCACTATGAGGGTGGCCAGGCACTGGTACAGGTTGCCCCAAGAACTTATGGATGCCTCATCCCTGAAAGTGTTCAAGACCAGTCTGGATGGGGCTTTAATCAACCTGGTCTAGTGAAAGGTGTCCCTGCCTGTGGCAGGGGGTACTGGAACTGGATGATCTTTAAGGTCCCTTCCAACCCAAACCAGTGAATGATTCTATGATTCCGTAAGTTCTGCAGGGAAAGACTGAAAGAAGACAAAGGGCAAGAAATGATAAAGAGCAGATATTGCTAAGCTCTATTTGAAATGCTCAGCATAGCATGGCCATGTGGTAAAATAAATGAATAAATCACAGCCGAGTAATCAGTAACACACCAACATTGCTTACTTCTCCCTGTCATCCCTGCTGCACGTCTCCCAAGACTGTTGGAGCAAAAGACAATCTGATTTTTGTGTTAAAATAAATTAAAATTATACTTAATTATTTTTTCTATCACTAAGTAAATACTGGATAGATCTTAATGCTTTATTTACTGACTTCTGACGCTCCTCAAAAGTATTTCACTTCTCAAATTGCAAAAAGACAGCTCAAATGGCATTATTTACTGAAAGTATAAATATCCTGTGAACCTTTGAAACTCACTGTAGGTAACGGAAATTTCATCTATTATATGCCCATCTAAGTTTAAGTACAAAGTATATCTAATCATCAGTAGAATACAGAAAATTACTCCTTGTTAAGACAGGCTTTTAACAAATTACTGTTGGGTGTGGGGGAAGAAACAACCAACCCAATCCAGTGAAACCAAAGTCAAAATAATCCATATCTTTGCACATAAAACTTTCCAAATATATTTTCAGTCAGAATTAGTAACAAATGCAAAATATGAATAAAAATGCAGTTCTGCCCTAAAGTAAATCACACAGCAGTTCCTAAAAATAACAAAATACTTATTAGCATCAACATTAGTGACTTTTTTATATAAAAAAAAAATCGAAATCCCATTTGATTTCATCTTAACATGGAACTCTACAGAAAAAGGTAAAACAAAAGAAGTTACAAACTTACGCATGTGGGCAAATGTATTTTACATGGGGGCTTTTGATACCTGCAAGCGCTTCTGACCATCCATGCCTGTTAACAAAAAAATACATTAAATGCCATTTATGTTTTGGCTTAGCTTTTATTTCTATGTTGGTGCAAGAACACAGACAAGGTATGAAATATGCTGAATTATATCAATATAAAAACAGTTCCAGAAAATTTTTACATCAACTGCAGTATGGTATGAATACAGAACTAAATTCAAAGGGTTTGTTCTGCCTCTGTTTGTTGCATCTATACAGCCAGGGAGACTATCTGATTTGACTAACATAGTTGCAGCACAGCTGTAGAAGTACCACTTTGGCTCTAGGCAAAACCTGCTTTGTATGTGGCTGGTTTTATTAACTTGGGTGCCACAAGACATGAACGCAGGTACCCCGCTTCTAGGCAGCTCTAGCCCAGAGGCTACGTTGCTGCTCCTGTAGAGTTAAAGCAGCTTCTTTCACAGACAGCTTTGTTTTCCTGAACCACATTTACTGATGTGAGATTGTAGCGAACTGACATCTAAGCTAACGCCAGGGAACCAACCTAATCAATCAGATCCCTTAACTTTGGGTCAGCTTGAACGCTCTTAGATTCAAGCAGTCCTGAACACCACTCCAAACGGCAGATAGCTTTTTAATGTCAAGCACATGCTGTATGAATGCCCGGAACACCACAAGATCTGCACAGCAGATGAGTTATCAAGCTTCTTACAAACCAGGAAACTGGAAAGCCTACTTTAAACAAACAGCTCTGAAAGACTCACTCCAGGAGTCAAGCTGGACCCAAACCTGAACCTATACAGAACCACTGCCTGTGCCTGCACTTGGCTTTCCAGAACACGCAATAGGACCTGTCTTTCCTGATTTTTCTCATTATTCACTATTCCTAACTCACCCACTTAACTAAATACTGGAAAGTTGATTCTAAGCAGAGAACACCTCTAATAAATTCATCAGTGACAGAACTGAACTAACGAGACCAACAATAGACAAGCCATAAAAGCATATTTGGTTTAGTTTTAAATTTAGTATCATCCTAAAATGTTAATGTACGCTACCCAAAGTTAAAGACAATTCAAACACACAGACAGCACAGACATTTGAAACACTGGCTGTATATCTCAGCCTACTTACTACCAATAGTTTTATATATACTATTAACAAATTGTGTGTGCTATTACTTGCATAATATTTGCAGTATCACAGAAGGCCAAATAAGAATCTAAAGGAGAATATGACTGAGAAAAAGTAGTTAGATAAGAATTTGGGGACTTTCTTCAGCCAGATAATAAAGATTAATTTGACAAATTTGGAAAGCAACATTGTATACACATTTAGGCAGACTCCTTAGAACAATCCTCTGTGTTGTACCTTTTGTTCAGATTTTGACAAGTATGTACCAATCTTTAAGTGCCATTTATATAGGAGCTAAGAGAGAAAAAGAACATAACCTCTGTTAGACACTTCTCAGAATAAGAAAAATACAGTTGGTAAACTGAAGTAAGCAAAATTCACATGAAGTAGAACAGGTCACTTTGTGGGAAATGATAAAATTGCTAATTAGGTCTCTTCAAACAATCTGGTTATGGGTCACTACTGTGGCTCTTTTGGAAAAAAATGGCAGGATGTCAAAGGCAGCTTTAGCTAATCTGATCTGCAGTGGGCTGGAGGAACAAATGCAGCTAAATCACTGTATTTCCACAGAGGTGTTACAACCTGTTAATGCACACATTCCAGTACGCTCAGAGCTCACGACTCTCTGTTTACTTTGTCATCAGAATGGAAATACCACATTTGTATAAGAAACACGATTTATGTTATAGAGCAAATCTCTTTAACGCAAATTTAATCAAATCTGTGTTTTGTTCCTCTTGCCAAAACCAACATCAACCCAATTTGCAAGGACTCAAATTCCAAAGGCTCAAAAGATTCTGCAATCATTTGCTGAACATTTGGTGCCAAGACACTGAAGCAATACTGCTGCCTCAGCTGTGCCCTACCAGCAAAAGGGAAGGGAGATAATGCGAACAAGGTGGTGTGTCAGCACAACACAACAGCAAACATCTCCACTTGTAGAATACTGTCAAGTGTACGGATCTGACTCTTTTAATGTATTAAGTGCCCAGGGTACACAACTTTCAGTTCTGACAGATGACTTTTTTTTTAGTTCCTCAGAAAAAAGTTTGTGTCTTCAACATCAGAAGTTTAAACCCAAGGGCAACATTCAAGTTCCAGGTAACAAAAACAGAGTTATTAGAAAAAACAAAACAAAACAAAACAAAAAAAAACCCCAAAAATGTATTAGGCAGTTTTGCCCATAAGGAAGAACAACAGACAAAGCACTCATGCTACTTATTTTCAGTATCAAAGTGTGAACTTCTTTAAAGTCTTCCAGCAAAAAAGATTTCAGAACACTCCTAACTTGTTAATTCAGTATCTTGGCACGCACAAGCTTCAAATGGAAATATTGCACCACACCTAGAATGCCCCTCATAAATTCCCTGCTCTTTCCATTTCCACTCAAACATGGAAATAACAAGAACAAGGAAAGCAGGGTATTTCACAGCTTATTTGGGTGGGTTCTTTGGACTGTTAAGACCCTATTTCAGATAAAGAAATCTGTAGATATTAGGCGACTACTTAGGAGTTTGCTTAGATAAAAGTAAGCCTGGATTTTAATGCAAGTATGACATGCTGGAGAAGAAACCACAGACTAACTGCATCTACTGGCAAACCAACAATCCACAGGTCTGGAGAAGAGAAAAAACAAACAACCCTCTAAATTTAGACAAGCACAGGAACCTACTCTCAGGAAAGTGAAAGGTGATAAACCTACAGACTTCTTTTTCCACCAAGTTTGACTCAAGAACAAGCGAGGGATCCCATTCAGACCAAATTAGGTAAGCAATTGAAAAGAGAAAAGAAAAAGCTTTTGAGTACTTACGCTGGAAAATTTTGCAGAAATATTTGTCACCATCACTCCAGCATACAAGTTTCATCTCCTGTTAGCCCCCACATTCAGTTAAGGGCTAAATAAAAAGCTTAAGCAACTCTTAACTGCTCACATCTTTAAAGCATGCAGCCTTACATTTGAAACTGTAACAACTATTAAGCATGCAATAAATCATAATACACACCCGGTATCTCCCAATCCATGAAGAAAAATGACCTAAAGGGAAAACAAAACAAGAAAATGCAGTGGTATAAGATTACTAAACAATAACCACACCTAACCCGCGTACGACAGTGGCCCGCAAACCATCACACACAGACGGAGCTCGACATGACTTTCTCACAAGAAAACTTTGCTTCGCTCACCCCACCCCAGCTCTCCCCCATGCCGGCTCCCCCCATCCCAGCTCCCTTCCAACCCGGATCCCCCTCTTCCCAGCT